TTCAGGTGCACCCAGTGTTCTAAAGTAATTTTTTGTATATCTAGTGTCTCAAACTAATTAAAACAGTACGTCCACATCCCAGGCTAACAGAAAAGTCTCGTTTGACCATTACCTTACTAACTCAACTGAAGGTTGACCAAAAAATCCTAGATGGTGGACACACAAGTGTCTGATATGTATTATTTTGATTGAAAATTCAATTTATTTCCTTCTCTTCTAACATTTATCTTTTGCCAGTTTTAAAACTTAAAAAAAAGGAAGACCATTGATCCACCCTCTTAAATCTTGGTAGATGTACCACCCATTCAATCCCATCCTCGTCTTTAAGATTTTATCCCATTTCTTCTACCACACACTTCCATCTCTGTCTCTATCAACTCCTCATCTAACTCGCGTTTGTTTTCCTCCTCCTATAACGCAGTGAACTTTCCTCTGGTCACTTTGTTGACATCGTCGTCGCCTTCCGAAAAAACACCTGCTGCTACCGGGCTCGCCTTGGTAGCTTTAGTCGAAATAATACACATCAGACATCTGTGTGTCCGCCATATAAAATTTATTTGTCAATCTTTAGCTGAGTCAGTAAGGTAACGGTCAAATGAGACTTTTCTGTTAGCCTGGGATGTGGACGCACCGTTTTAATTAGTTTGGGACACTAGATACATAAAAAATTACTTTAGGACACTAGGCGCACCTGGAAAAATAATTTGGGATGCTGGGCGCACCTTGGCCCGTCAAAATAATACACATCAGACGCCTACGTGTCCGCCACGTCGGTCAACCTTCAGCTGAGTCAACAAATAACGGTTAAACTTAACTTTTCTGTTAGCCCGGGATATGGATGCACCGTTTTAATTAGGGCTATTCACGGGACGGATCGAGACCGAGACATGCCCGTCTCGGTTCCGTCCTGATGAACAATAACAGGATAGAAAATCTGTCCTCAGCCCGTCTTGGGGTTGTCTCGGTCCCGGGACGTCCCAAATTTTTTTTAAAACTTTTTTTTAATTTTTTTTAAAAAATATGGTTTTTTTAATTATATTTTTTTGGGCTTAAACCTTATAAAAACATATTTTTATTTTCTTTTTTATTTGTTTGGGCACTCTTAAATAAAAGCTCAAAATATTACATATAATAGTCATTAAAAACTCTAAACAAAAGCTTTTAACACAATAAAAACTTGCTAAAAATTCTAATAATCAATAATCTCAAATCATTAACAAATATAAAAACTCTAAATAAATATATCCATAGTTCCATACAATAGTTTCAAATCTTAAAAAAATATGAAAAAAATGATATTATATATAGGATAAAAATTAAAAAAATTAAAAAAAAGGAACCGGGACGGGACCACCCCGTCCTGTCCTGAAAAATTTCGGGACGGATCCGTCTCGTCCTAATAAGACCGGGATCGGAACAGGTCGACCGGGACGGGCCTGCCTTGAACACCCCTAGTTTTAATTAGTTTGGGACACTGGATGCACCGAAAATTACTTTAGGACACTGGGTGTACCTGGAAAAATAGTTTGGGGTGCTGGACGCACCTTAACCCTTTTTTCAAACCTGGCATTAGAGTATTTAGGTTATTTTACAACATTTCAAAAATGCCACATAAGGCAACATTTTTTTCTTTGGATTTTCATAGCCTTAGCTTTCTGAATTGAAATAAGAAGTTTGGGCTTTTTTTGTCATTTTTCCTTTTTTTAAATTCTCAATATAATTTATCCAATTTAATATTTAATATATTTCATATGTGAAAATTTCGTACATATAGGTATAGCATACATCAGTCCTTTTATTAGGCGACAACAGAAAAACATTAGTCCAATTCTATTTTTTATTTTTCGCCCAAAATTAATGTAATCATAGCAAAATGGAAGCCTCTTGAACTACCCGCGTTCTAGAGCAAGCCTTCACTTCAACTCACCACTTTCATTTCTAGGGTTTTGGTTTTCTTCTCTGATTTGGCTCTCACTTCTCCCCGCTTCCTATTTCATCCCTCTCCATTCTGTCTTCTCGCAAGAGGTTCAGTGGTAATCAATGGCTGCGATTGCAGTTCCCCAACCTCGAGCTTCAAAAACCGAGTCTTACGTCGACAACAAGCGCAAGGAAGACATACGCCATGCCAACATCGTCGCCGCTCGATCCGTCGCTAACGCTGTCAGGACCAGTTTGGGTCCTAAGGGTATGGATAAGATGATCTCCACGGCTTCCGGCGAGGTCATCATTACCAATGACGGCGCCACTATTCTTAATAAGATGGAAGTCCTTCAGCCCGCTGCGAAAATGCTCGTTGAGCTATCCAAGTCCCAGGATGCCGCTGCCGGTGATGGTACTACCACCGTCGTGGTTATTGCCGGTGCGCTGCTTGAACAATGTCTTTTACTTCTGTCGCACGGGATTCATCCTACTGTCGTTTCGGATTCGCTGCACAAGGCCTCGATAAAAGCCGTTGATGTCCTTACTGCTATGGCTGTGCCTGTTGAGCTTTCAGACCGTGATTCTTTGGTCAAGTCTGCTAGCACTTCGCTTAATAGCAAAGTGGTTAGTCAGTACTCGACGCTGCTGGCACCTCTCGCTGTTGATGCTGTGTTATCGGTTGTCGATCCGGCGCAGCCTGACATGGTCGATCTTCGTGACATCAAGATTGTGAAGAAGCTTGGTGGAACTGTAGATGACACTGAAATGGTGAAGGGATTGGTGTTTGATAAGAAGGCTAGTCACGCTGCCGGAGGTCCTACCCGCATGGAAAATGCTAAGATTGCTGTGATTCAGTTCCAGATTTCTCCCCCCAAGACTGATATTGAGCAGAGTATCGTGGTTAGTGATTACAGCCAGATGGATAGAATATTGAAAGAAGAGCGGAATTATATTCTGGGCATGATTAAGAAGATAAAGGCAACGGGTTGTAATGTGTTGTTGATCCAGAAGAGTATCCTAAGAGATGCCGTGACTGACTTATCTTTGCACTACCTTGCAAAAGCTAAAATTTTGGTGGTCAAGGATGTGGAACGAGATGAGATTGAATTTATTACAAAGACTCTGAATTGTTTGCCGATTGCAAATATTGAGCATTTCCGTGCTGAGAAGCTTGGACATGCGGATCTTGTCGAGGAGGTTTCTCTTGGGGATGGGAAGATTGTCAAAATCACTGGTATCAAGGATATGGGAAGGACTACAACTGTGCTTGTTCGGGGATCAAATCAGCTGGTGATAGATGAAGCAGAGCGGAGTTTGCACGATGCTTTGTGTGTTGTTAGATGTTTAGTCAGCAAGAAGTTTTTGATTGCCGGTGGTGGTGCCCCAGAGATTGAGCTATCGAGGCAACTGGGTGCCTGGGCAAAGGTTTTACACGGAATGGAGGGCCATTGTATTCGAGCATTTGCTGAGGCACTTGAAGTCATTCCTTACACGCTAGCTGAGAATGCAGGTTTAAATCCGATTGTTATTGTCACTGAGCTGAGGAATCGCCATGCACAGGGTGAAATAAATGCTGGAATTAATGTGAGGAAGGGGCAGATTACGAACATTTTGGAGGAGAATGTGGTGCAGCCACTGCTTGTGAGCACAAGTGCCATCACCTTGGCTACGGAGTGCGTGCGGATGATTTTGAAGATTGACGATATTGTGACTGTGAGGTAGTGTGGGCTGGAACAATAGTAGATTTGGAGAAACGTTAAATCATTATCTTGTGTTGCGTGCCATATTTCGAGTTGATAGTTTATGCACTTTTAGTGACCTTTGTTAGTGGTTTTGAATTGCTTTGGTTCCTGCTTTCTTATAGTTTCGATGGCCTTGTGATGCTTCATAAAGTCATTACAAGTCTTTTTCACTTAATGTGTTTTGGGAGAATATGAATCAGAGATCTCTTCCTTCGGACCACTACCATGTTATTTCATGTCTTTATATTCCCCTTACGATACAGATTTATTTTTTGTATGACTTTGTGATGAATGGGAGCCTGATGGAATTCATCAATTATGGTGAGGAATAGCCCAAAATATTTTATAAATTTTGTCTTCTTATGTGCTTATAGGTTTTGTGCTGCTTGATTATGTGATGACGATTATGATGTGGGTTAACGAGCGATTCCTATCCACTTTAGCTGTTGCAAGAATTCTTAGTTTTCGAGTTATTGAAATGTCAACATCTAATGACCTTTCAATGCATGAACCATGTGTTGAAATCTGGATTTCTTGAAATCTTGTAATATGACACTTTTAATAAGGCTCTCATCACTCCATTAAAATCCCAAGTTGCTAGTGTGAAACTCAAGAGGGAATCTCTTGGCCATGAAATGCTGATGCTCCGAATACGGGGTATTCGTATTATTCATATTCTACTTCACCGTTTGCTTAGGAAACAATTCACATGACCAATGCATTATTATTCATATTCTACTTCACCGTCTGCTTAGGAAACAATTCACATGACCAATGCATTGCACTAATGATTTAGGGCCCGTTTAGAACAGCTTATAAGTAGCTTATAAGGTGCTTTTCAATAGTGATTTAGGGAATACGAGACAAGTATGTAAGAGGAGTTTTGTCTCGTCTTACATGAAACGTACTTATAGTGAATTTCCATTGTTCTGCCAAAAAGGGTCTTAGAATATGAGCTTGCCAAGCTGTTGAGAGAAAGACTGGGTCTGCGTCCATATAGAAAGACTGGGGTTCGAATCTTCCCTCAAGTGCTTTTCAGCAATATCCAGGCAGCAAATGCATTTCCACCCAACTTCAGAGTTCAAGATATACATGTCAGTGAAATGTACAGTGACTCCAAGCCCCTGGACATTACACGTACGCCCACAACTAACCACATTTTGTTACTAATCAACACGAACACTGAATGGACTCGTCTTAATATGAATCGGCAAGCTTTCTCACTAAAGCCTGCTTAGCTTGAGCCCTTAACTCTAACAACTAATTTGGATAGGCTAAGTTTAGTTTTACTACCAGAGATGCCGCTAACAGAGGCACTATTCTGTGGACAAATGCATGTCAGGGTATGTCTTCTGCAGCTGCATCAACTCTTCTGGTCTCTTCAGAATTAATCAGTGGCTTGGTTAATGATGGCTCCTCTGGAATAGTCATCCGTTTTTCATGAGTTTTGCCCCATAGGACCAAGTAGAGGCCAAGCACAATAAGAATTGCACCAATGACACTGCAATAAAACAAATTCATCGGTTAGAATTAAAAATAAACAGAATTAAAAGGAAAATTTTTATGGTTAATTTTTCTGCTTACCCTCCAGAGTATAACTGATCACCAAGTATCAGGGCTGCCATAACAGCAACTAAAAACGTTTGCAGGGGCTGAAAGACAGCAACAAACACAGGACCGCCTTTCTGAATGCACCACGTTTGGAGAGAGATGACGATGCCAGATGCTACAACTCCCTGGAATGATCATGCAACAGTTAGTTGAATAAGAGTTTTAAACTTTCAATCATCACATTGCAGAAGTGCAGTAATTAGGATTACAGCGTATAAGATAGTAAAAAGCTCCTCTGTGGATTGTATTTTCCAATGCTCCGTATCAGTTTCTACAAAGGCTGCTATGATCAAGAACTGGATCAATCCAAAGAAGCATGTAAATGACGTGAGTGTTAGCTTTGCTGGATACTTCTTCACCACAGGAGCCTGCACAGAATTGTTTATCAACAACTTGGTTTAGAAGTATGATTTATTGGATGAGACTAGTAAAACTTCATGTTTTTATGGTGATGTAGGAAATTGCATGCCCACGCTTGGATATATACTAGAGTAAGGAGGAAGCCAGAGATTGGTTTTATTTGAATTTTATGATCATTATGGGCAGACCTGAAAAACCATCCAGCCAGCCCATGATAGACAATGTCCAAGCAAGTATATGCAACCCCATGTCCAATTTTGCATTTTCATGGAAGATTGGTCTGTTTCTGAGGTAGGGTTTGCTTGAACATGGTCCATCTGGTGGAGAAGAGGAGGTCCTTTGTAGAGTGTAATCACAGAAGCGCCTCCCACACTGGCAATGGTTCCTATAACTTTTGCCAGTCCATCTCTTCTTGCAATGTTGAGTTCCTCAAGCCTGGTAAAGAGCCATAAAATCTTCAAGATATCAAAACAGAGGAAGATGAAGCATGTTTAATAGAAAACTTGATTACCTTAGAGCTGAGGCCATGACAAAGGTGATGGCAGGAACTGAGTTTTGCATTGCAGAAGCAAACGTTGGAGATGCATAATATAGTCCCAACAAGTAAAACCCCTGGTTTGCAGTAATTCTACGATAAAGAAGATCAAGAATAAAAGATCAGAAACAATGGGAAGAAAATAAGAGCACAAAGAACTAGGCTTATTTCCATAATTACCCCAGTAACGCTAAAAGGAAGAACTGAACCAGTAAAGAAAAAGTAAGAGGTGGCCTTCGATTCCTGATTACAGAGACAAAAACATTGTTCCGAGTTAAACTCCACGATACGACAGAATATTAACAAGAAAGGTGAAAACAAGCTTCACATAGAAACTCACTTCTCCAAGAAATAAGCAAGAGGGCCCAGCAAAAACAGAGCGATTATATTTCTATAGACGGGATATACAACTTTGCTGACACCAATGTTTAGTGCAAGTCTAGACACAATGTGAAACCCTGCAAAGCAGAACTGGAGAGCCAGCAATGCCACAAGAAGCTTCACTTTTTCTGTTACAACACTTCCCATTCTGGTTATTCGTTCAAGACTTGTGAGGGATAACAACGAAGGGGAGGAACTTATATAATGAAAACTTTTGAAGGGACTTTAAAATAATAGATTTTTTTTTTAAGAATTTCATTGGTTAGCATATTATGTAATAATATTGATTCTAAGTTATTTATAAATATATATATATATATATATATATTGACTTCAAACTGAATATTTTGGAGGGAGACAGAGGGAAGGTGGATCACGTTAGCCAGGTAGTTATATAGCGGCCGAACTCTATCATTTGTATGATCATGTTCCCACCATCCCCTTATTTAACTATTCTACTGAGACTGCTGCGCGAATCTATCATTTTAGAGGAATCCATATGCATATACATAACATTAAATATAACCCAACCAATAACTGATCATGTTTTTAAAAAATGTGAAGACATCCAATGATTCCAACAATGATGTGAATCGGCTGCTTATTGTAGATAAATTGGGAAGGTCTTTTCATTTCATTTCAATGAATGATTCTCTACAATGAGCAAAATGATTGCATACTATATAGTGTCATAAGAAAGAGATAGAACTGAAACGAAGAATGAAAGTAAACAGAGAAAGTGGATCTAATTCATACTTTCACTTTTTCTGTATAACTTTCTTGTTTATTATTCTCTATAATATTATTACCTAAAGGGCATGTGCCACTGTTCATGATTTAGGGAATTGTTTATGATTCATGAAGAAAAGAAGAGGTCCTGGAAAGGGCAAAGCACATGTGCTAAACTTCACATTATGCCCTGAAACTATTTCAACTTTGTCATAACCACCTAACTGCTGCTAAGGGATAGCTTTTTTTGCCCCAACTATACTTGCAGCCTGAAATTCGTTCCTTACTCTTACTTTGAAAATATTTTTCTATAAATTAGTATTTATATCGAGGCTTAGTAAGATTGTGTAAAAGAAGAGGTGAATTTCAATTATTAATATCAATGGAATCATAGTACATACTACTCCATCCTAGATCCTTTTAACTAAATTATGTGGTTTAAAAAAATAGTTAAAATTAGTTAAAAGTAATTAATATGTAGCAAATGCAGTTTTTTTTTTTCAAATATACTCTTACATATAAATGGATAAATGTAAAAGAGTAATAGTGAGATAAATGAAGAAAGAGAATATATTAAATACATTAAATTAGGATAAAATAGGTAATACTGAATTAAATGCTCAAACAAACTCAAAGAGAATCTTATAAAAAGGGACAAACTCATTTAAAAAATTGGATCTTATAATAAAGGATGGAGGGAGTATATTACCAAACTCTAGTGTTTAGAGTGGGCTTAATTAGAAGATTTAGTTTTTGGGTGAAATGATTAGATGAAATTTACGTCTCATAAAATAAATTGTCCTCCTTCACCAATAAAATTAATATCATTATTAGTCTCTTTTATATATATATATATATATATATTCATGTATATATATTTATATATATTCAGACAGAGAAGCTTAGATATAATTTATTCATGAGGGTCAATATATCTTAGTGGATCATGAAGGGAAATTATTAACATGATGTATTCATGAACGTTGTTTAGATTGGGAAATTTAACAACCGGAATAAAAGATGCAATTTAACGATATTCTTGATTAATTGAATGAGAGGCTGCTTATAATTGAGAAATGAAATGATGCTTTTTTGCCTTGCTGCCTCTTCGGCCATAAATAAAAAGGAACAGGATATGTTTACTTGAATTATAAAATTCGCACTCATATGCAGTTTGTCGCAAGGCTCATTATTTGCCTTGACGAAACATTCATCTTCATGGCTTCACAACAGAATCATTTTATGCCACGCTACTTACTTCCGATTCTTAATATAAAAGTTAGTTAATTAATTTGGATAAATTAAGAAAACCACCTCAATCATTTGATTATAACAAATGTAACATGATCTCCTTAAAATACTCCTATATAATGTTAAATCATATTATCTCCGGTCCTTACTATAAGAACTAGTTTAACATTCAATGGTCCTAGATATAAAACTACAATCCACTTTATTTCGCATATTCATTCATTATTTCCAAATCAGTCCTTATGGTAGTTGCACTTATTAAAGATTCCATCAAATGATAGTTCTGGCTAATACACATGATTAGCAAGGATATTTTAGAGAAAATAATATATATTTATTACAAATAACTAACTTAACAAACTTTCTTAATCTACTCAAATTAGTCAACTAACTCTTATATTAAAAACCGGAGATAGTACATCAGTTTGTAAGTTAAGTAAATCAATTTGAAAAAATTATAAATGAGAGATAAATTATATTAAAATTTTATATTTAGAATAAAATTTAATCTTTTAATTAACTCTTTTAATTAACTCTTATATTAAGAACTAGAAATAGTATTTACTTTAAAAGATTGTCAAAATCTGCCTTCATAAGACGTCTCCATCTGGATGCATGAGTCAGTCCATGTTATGACTGCTTGCTTGTGACAAAATTTTGTTCCTTTCAAATGTGTAATTTGATTATCCGTTCTTGGGATAAATTCATGAAAGAGGAAGAAACAAGAGACTGATTAAAACTTCATAAGGTGCATCATAGGAAATATATATAAATATATATAGAGAGACTTAAAAAAAAAAAGTAATAATTAAGTAGCACCCACGTGGGTTTTATATGTGCAAAGTGAAAAGAAAAATCTCAAAAAAAATTGATTGTCAAATTTCAAAATTTTAAATCAGAAATTATTACAAAAATATGTTATCATTTGTTTTTTTAGTATAATCATTTTCTTTATGAGTATAGTAACCAATACTGATTTAAATTTTAAAATTCAACAGTTATTTTTCTGAGATTTTTTCAAAGTAAAATCCTTCAATTTGTTTTTCGTTTTTTTCAGTAAAAAAAAAATCAATTTGTCTTTCGTTTTCACAAGATCATAATTGTTGGGAGAGCCAATATATTATTTTATTGCCTTTGTCCCCAAAATAAAGAAAGAAAAAGAAAAGAAATAGCCAATTAAATCATCATTTTTTCCAATTAGAGAAACGAACCCCATTTGATTGGGGAGCGCACACTTATGATTAGCGTCCCTACTCCAAGAGATCCACGATCAATCATGAGAGCCAACGTGATTCGCTGAATAAATAGGGTTAATACTTTGTCCCCAAAAAAGGGCTTAATACGCCCAACTTTCTAATCAATGTTATTTTTATTTTTTTTCCGATAAACACAATATATAAAATCACTTCAATAATATATGTCACTTCAGTTATGGACCCACATAATATCCATTTCTCCAAAACTAACAAGAGGAGCTATGGACCCACTAAAACTTCCAAAGCTGAGAACTTGCACAGGACAAGACACTGAGGGGAGCCTTAGAAACATATCTAAACTAACAGAATTTCCCGCACAAAAAGGTTCGTAAAACCACTGTTTCCGAATTGGATCATAATCAGCCCTTAATTTCGCTGCCAACCACTTCCATTCGACATCTACTGAACAATCGTTTACTGGCATCTAAGGATGCCTTCTTCTGTTTTCTTTTATTTCCCCATAATAACTTGGGGCAAATGGAAGGGAGACTTAACGGGCAAAACCTCTCATCTTTCATGTCTCCTGTATGATCTAAAGATGGCACTTATATCGACCAATAAACTACTTTCAACATATATCACAATTTCAATAATCATGTTTCAGTTTTGATTAATAGCAAACCATTACAAGTAAACAAACCTACTACTGATGTGGGAGACTACGCTGCCATAACATTTTGCAGTAATAAGCAAGCCACGCATTGTACATTGACCTTGCAATGCAGTAGTCCAAAACAATCCACATTTCTATGTGTCATCACAGCAGCAATAAATATCTCAGGCAGATGTTCCCTTGGTAACTACTTGCGCTTGAATACAATAATAATTGCAGTGCAGTTATCCTTACAGCGCCGCTCACGAACAGCTTCTCTTACAAGATGGCGGGTCACAGTTGTGACAGGCAACCCCTCCTGCAGAAATTTATTGGATTTTTTTTTTTTAGCATGCAAGACAACCCTGGTAAACAGGAAACAAAATATGGCAATTCTTGTTCATGGATATTGGGCAGTTGAGACAATATTCTTGACCAGATCATGAAAGAAGAAAAAATACAGCCCCTAACTTCGTTTTCATAGAATGGCAGTAGTCAATTTACCAATAAAACTCATCACTGAAAATTAACTAGCCGCTACAAGAAAGTAAGGCCTTCATTTTCCTCCTTTTTTCTGTAATTTTGAAGCACCATAAGGGGCAAAATGTGAATTGCCCTGAATCAACACCGCTTCAGCAAAAATAAAGCACTTCATTGAAATGGAAAGGGGTAAAAGCATAGGCTATTTCAACAGAAGATGAAACTGTATCATTCCAATTCATTCAAGTCACATCCCCCCCCCCAAAAAAAAAAAAAAAAGAAGAAGAAGAAAAATATAGACTAATTCTTACACTCAATAGTTTCTGAACAAAAACAACTGCATCACTGGGACCAAATACCTGAAACAAACCCAATAATGCCATTTTTTATCAGAAGCGCCAAGCCAAGCCCATAAAATGAATAAAAAAAACATAATTGTTGCCCATGTGGATATAAAAAGACACACCCCCCATAGGCCATCACAGCCAAGGATGACAAAATGCTCTCTATCAGTAAGGTCAAAAGAATGGATATCCGGGGTTGCAATAACACCCACCTGCAAATATTTTCCGTTAGGATACCTTGTGATATTATACTGAAACACTAGTAGTTTAGCCAGTAAAAGTAAAATAGTAGAGTAAACCAGATGACCATATTAAAAAAAGCAAAAGAAGTAATTTTTATGGAGAAACAAAAATGGATAGTGAGGGCATTGGCACCGTTTAAAGACAATATGGATTTAGATAACACAGAAAAAAGAGCCCATCATGCAGCACATCTTGAATGAAAATCTGTTCATGGCATAAAACAAGTCTTTATGTTACAAGACTAGATAAATAGTCCAAGAGACTAAAGGAGATTTGCTGTAAGATGATATAGTTCAAAGACTTGTGCGATTCCCATAGGAGAGTTAGAACAATATTTCTCAATAAAGTGCCGAATTCAGTCTCTTAATTTAAATTAGAAGCTTCATATAAATTTTTTACTAATGACAGGAAGATAAAGTAAACAGAGAGTGAAAAACAAACCTTCTTGAACTGGCGATCACCAAATGCCCTGGAAACTTCTAGACGCCCTTGCAATCGTCCATTAGAGCTCACAAACCACCAGCCTGCAAGAAGAGTACCACCAACTTTGTTTGACTAGGATTATACGCTATCAAAATAAGGAGCATGGACAACTTTTATCAAAACAAAATTAAATACAGCTTCAGGGGAATGCATTTGGAAGTCCTGTAAAGGTGTTTAAACTGGGCATTCCATTTACGTCCACAAGCAAAATATTTGAAAAAGTTGCCCAGTTGTTTTTATTATTGAGATAAACATTAGAAAAGCGTGAAGTGCTTTTTAGCAGAACTTTATGAACCTTCATTTTAGAGTTCACTTCAACAAAATTCAAAACACTGCTGTGTGCAACAATTACTTCACAGTTCTTTAAGTTTGGCTCGTCAATTAGTCATCACTGCTTAGCTAAAGTTTGGCTCCATGATTATTAGACAAGCCAGATTGGGTTTAATGAGTCCTCAGTTATTGCAGCTTCTTACATCATCACAATTATTCTTGGTTGTTAATCATAATATAGGCACTTAAATTAACATCAGAAAAAGCATCACTTCAGTCAATTATCAGAGTGGATTCTTTGCTACTGAAAAATGGAGAGTAAGTGGATTGGCAGCCTTAATGAATGCTAGGAATTATTTGTCAACTGTATGCTATAAGCATTGACAAGTAGCAGCCACCGTTATGCTGTTATAGTAATATTATCATCCAGCATTGATGCAATCCAAACCTTCTGAATACGAGCCCGCTCCTGTGGGTAGATTGCCTTGTGTTCCCTTGTCAAAACAATGGCCTTCAATGCAGGTACTCCATCTGAGTGATTTTGGGAACCATCAGTTATAGCTGATCGAGCTAAAACTGCTTTGGCATCTCCTATATTTGCAACAAAAACCTAACAAACATCCATAGAACAGAACGTTAAGTATCTCTCCTAAAGTTGTTGCAAATTGTTTAATGGAACATCTACACTTCTCTAAGGGTATTAGCCATAAAAATTATCTGCACAATTGTAGCCCCAACAGTTATGGCATTCAAGCAGCATCAGATAAAGCGTTAGAAACTACAAGCTAAAATTCTCTCCATTGTATCGATTGTGTTAGCCTCTCTAAAAGAAAGACATTGAAGACGAGTGTATGCTTTTCAACTAACTACAATTGTGAATTATGACAACCATCATAGTTAATGATTCACAAATTTAATAACTGCAATTTTGTATTATTTAACCACTTGTTGCATGCTTCTTTTTGAATGGCTACCCATCAGCAATCATCCTCAGCCTCGTTCTTCCACTTTCCATAATAGTAATAAAAATGAAGATCCAGAACCTTGAAAACATATATAAAGATGGTATCCACAAATATTACCTGATCTTTAATATAAAACTAATTGACCAATTTGAGTAAATTAAGGAAGTTTGTTAAGTTAATTATTTGTGATAATTAACTGTTATCTTCCCTAAAATACTTTTGCTAATAATATATTAGTTAAAACTACCATTTGATTGAACCTCTAACATGTGCTACTACTAGAAGGACCACTTTGGGAAAAACGAATAAATATGAGAGACAAAATGAATTGGGATCTTATATTTAGGACCAAATTAAAAGTCAAATTACCTTTTATATTAAGAACCAGAGGTAGTATAAACTATTCTAAAAGCACAAGAATACAAAAGTGCTATTTCGCCAGTTTGGAATTATGGTGCCGCTAAAATAAGGTTGGGAATCAAAAACAAATATTATTCTACAGAAGCGTCTCATAAGGTTATATTTTATAACTAGAAACCAGTAAACACAGGCACAAGACTCAGATAATAAGAAATTTTGTTACAAAAATTTATTAGATCAAGATATTGTTAATGTAAGAACCCCTGATAGAGCAAGCATGATGCTTGAAACCTTAAGGGTATAATTTTTCAATTTTAAAATTTAAGGAGTCCTATGAAAAAATATAAAATAAGTAGTCCAAGCCTTACTTTTTGTCCCAATATCCAAACACATACAGCTGTAGCACCATCCTGCCATCCCCCTGGCAACAATTAACAGAATACAGTGAGACAAATATGATCTCAATTGAAGCTAATTAATTGACAGTAGGATGTTACAGTTGATAACAAGGTCAAATACTAAGTTGGATTACTGGTTCCATTACATGATGGGAGGAGGTCGAGAAACTTGAATATACACTTCTACAAAACATCAATGACATAAGCAAGTAATGACATGTTTTGTTTCCCATGCCTTCAGAAGCATGTTAACCTTTTTTCCTTTCATTTTGAAGAATCAACTATCATTCATGACTCCTTATGATAAGAGCTTCTAAGAATTCAAAAAAAATTTACGAACAGCTCAGTCTCAATCACAGTGTTTAATTTCCCTTTTGACACTACAAGCATATAAGTATATGCAAGAGGCGAAGTACATTAATTTATATCAAATAGAAAGAAAATAAGACCGCCCCAAAATGAATTTATAGAGATTGGCCAACTTGTGAGACGAGGAGACAATCTTTCTCTTTTAAGCAGTTGCACTAGGAGCAAAAGCTGATAAAGAACAAGGTCGCAATCCTTAAAAAAAGGGTCAATATCCCCGGGTACTACTTATTCTACATCCAAAAACTATGTCTTCAAAGTTCTTTTTTCTCAATTAAATTTTGTATTAATAACATTTGTAAGCTGTTACTTTCTAGAGCTTCCACTACCTAATCAATTTAAATACAACAGATCCATTTAACTTAAAATTCACCAACCATTCTAAAGAAATTAAACTTACCTGCGGCACTTTCTTGAAGAAGGGACTCATCAGTTTTGCGAAAACCTAATTTAGAATAAAATGAAAGCATTTAAATTATAGCAAATAAGAAAGAAGAAGAGGAAGAATAAAGGAGAAAAACAATAAAATGATTCCACTGGGCAAAACAAAAAAGCGTTAATTGGAAAACGTCAAATGAATGAATGAATGCATACCTTCGAGTATTGCTCTTTTAGCTACCTTTACATCTAACTGCAACACAGTGGTCAAACAACAAACAAAGTGATTAGATGGAATAAAACGATTTGAAGTGGAGCACAAAAAGAAGGTGAAATAGATCAAATTATTTTACAAAACAAAAAAAGTAGGTATAAGGATCAAATATTAGCAAAAATACTAACATAGATAGGGAAAAAAGGAAGTATTTTCCATCAGAATATTTTACACTTGTCAACAAATGTCACCGTACATCTTATTGCAATACTGCTTTTAAAACCAGCTATTGGCACACAGTTATTGGATGGCACTTTTACAGCTCTTAGCTTTGCTAATTCAACATAAACATCAGCAATATAAAACTGGCCCTCAACCAAAGATCAACAAGATCCATAGCATAAACAATAACTTAATGCTCAAGAATTTTTTTTTCACAAAATTAAGACTTTCTGCATTATAAACAATGAAAAGATTTCCCATGTCCATACTCCATAGCAACTGAGTAAACCTTCTGAAGGAAAACAAAAGGTCATACTGTCTGTCTACCCTTATAACTTCATTAGAATTACAAAATCAAAATTTTTCTTATGTCTTGCAGCTCCAATCACAAAACAGACAAACATTTAGCTTTTCCATGAACTCTTGGATCTATCAAATATGCTGCATAGCTATCCTTCTAGGCTCTCACATATCGCCCTAATGAGGATGTAAAGTAGAGAACACCCTAACAAATCATGAACCAATATATCATTGTGCAATATCATTGTGCATCTGCATTTGCTATAATCTAAGTGCCTGAAAGGTTCAGTATGCATGAAACTAGACCTAGCAAACACACCAACTCACGTGGTAATCCTGTTGAAAGAACATTTTCATGCAAATGCTTTTGAGCATATTCTGCAGCTAACCGGCCCCCATGTCCATCATAGATTGCAAAGTGTGCACACCTGAAAACCAAGCACCGGGAGTTACCAAGAGAGGCTAGATAAACTTCAGAAGCATCAAGCACGTGCTCAAATGAGATGAAATAATGAACCAAACATTGAACCATGCAGTCCTCCCGGCAACATGTTGATATATGATTATACATTGCCCAGGGACAGAATAATAATGAAGTCTGATCCCAAGAAAGAAACAAAATTTAATGCACCAAATTGGTCGGCTAGTCACCTAATAACTTCAACTATACCCTGACTTGCACTGAGCCGATGTCGACAATCATACCGCTAGCAAGTACTTTACTATTCAGTACCAGAAAATTCGACGCTTCGTTTCTTACAATCATTGTACTTAAAACAATAGACCACTAATGATGGGGAAAAAATAGCCCTGACTAAGACTTGCCAGCAATCCTGAACTTTTTGAAGTTGTTATACAATGTAATCGGAAATGTTTTAGTAATGCCATTCAATGTCACATGAACAGAAAAATAAGAAGAACCTCAGTTTTCCAGGGTGATCTAAACTGGCGTCCAAAAGCACTACCCAGGCATCTTCCATTGTATGCCTAGACCCCTTATCCTCAGCTGCGTCTGCCTCAATCTCGAACGTTAGTTCCTTGGCATTCTGTTGACCTTTGACAGCTCCTGAGTCCCCTTCTTTTAGTTCTTCGGCATTCTGTTGACCTGAAACAGCTCCTGAGTCCCCTTCTTTTAGTTCCTCGGCGTTCTGTTGACCTGAAACAGCTCCTGAGTTCCCTTCTTCACTGCCGAAAGCATCACGCACAGTGAAAGCTTCAGTTCTCAATTTCTTTGCTGTCAGATCATTAGCTTCTGAATAAGCCTCCCGCTTGTGATTAGGGTTTGATTTTGGATCCTGAGGCTCCACATTTAGACTTCCATTTCCAGTGGCAGACTGAGACTGGGAGCTTTCGCTCATCATATCTTCAGGGTAGAATGTTATTCGCAAGTTACAGAAAGAAGCGGCAAAAGCCCCCCAAAATTGTAAATCGGGGAAAATACTGGAATCTGTAAACAGATAGCCGGACTGGGATTCGGAAATGAAGATCCCTCTGGGTATGGATATAGCTTGTCCAATAAAATTAAAAAAACTTAAAAATAGAAAATTTTCAAATAAAAACTTATTGCAATATTAGTGTGGATTTTAACAATAATTGATAAGCAAATGACAATAATTTTTATAAACAGGTCTTTATATGTAATTTTTTAATTCTTAAGATTTTTTTCCCTAAATAAAATTAGGATGCTATCAGCATGAAGTAGCTGTGACATTTCATCTCATTTTAGTTTTGGTCCTCTAAATTTTAAATAATAGGTTTTGATTTTTCTTAACAGACAAAATGATCCAAATTTTTATTAATTATAAGGTTTAATGTTTTAAATGAAAAAAAGACTAAAACTTATGATTTAAAATTTGAAAGACCAAAATCAAAATAAGAACAAATTTAAGATGTTAAAAATTATACTACCTCAAATCCTTAATATAAGAACTAATTGACTAATTTGATTAAATTAAAAGAATTAGTTAAGTTAGTTATTTAAAATAAATAAGTATTATCTTTTTAAAAATATTCTTACTAATTAAATGTATTAGCTCAAACTGCTATTATTGCAAGGATTATTTTAAAAAAATAAATAAATATGAGAGACAGAATGAATTATGATGTTATATTTAAGATGAAAATATAATCAAACCACTTTTATACTACCTCCAGTCCTAATTATACAAACAAGTTGGCTAATTTGAGAAGATTAAGGAAAGAAGTTAAGTTAGTTATTTATAATAAATATGTGTTGTTTTTCTTAAAATATCCTTATTAATCAAGTATCTTGATTAGAATTACCATTATTAGAAGGACTAATTTAAGAAAAAATACATAAATATGAGAGACAAAATAGATTAGGATCTTATAATTAGAATCAAACTAAAAATCAAACAAGTTCTTATATCAAAGAGATGAGGTAGTATATATTAAGGAGGAGAGGCAATATTAACCCATGAAATACGAATGGCGGGGGAATCCAAAATGCGATTGCCAGTGGCCAGCCGGGGGGGGTGTTGTTTAAAAAAGTGGTGAACGTGGGATTTTTAGTTTATTTACATTTGATAAGACAATATGAAAATTTGTTAACAGCTTCTTAAGTTTAGGAATTAGGCATATGCATAAAATAGGATTGGTTCCATTTTTCCGAATGTCGAGGTTGAAATTGCGAATTTTTAATTTCTATTATGGAGGCATGGTTTATGTCTTCCGACCCCCTCTGCCACGGATTTCACATTCCTCACTTCTTTTGGCCAAACACATCCATGACTTTATTCTGAGCAATTTGTTATTCATGATTGATCATAAAAGGTTTTAATATGCTGAGACCCCTTGCCAGCGTCATACAAGATCCCACTTTGATTTTTCATCATTCCATTCACTTATCATAAGTGAATTACATCCATATTTTCACATTGAAGCCATGGTTACTTGCTAGAGGCCAAGAACACTTACTTTTGTTCCTGTTGTAAATTAAGTGTCTTGATTTGTTGAAATGTAACACCATTAATTTTCTTGGGCTTGGTGTTTCATTCTTCCCTCACTTTGGATTGTATGGCGCTTGAAGAGAAAATAAGAGGGTATCAAGCTCCAGCTCTTGTGATTCACTGATTTGGTTGTTCGACTTTCCATTACCTAATTACTCTATTTATATTTAATGTTAACATTTGTGATAATTTATACTACTTTCGGTTCCTGGTTAACTAATTTGAAAAGATTAAGAAAATTAATTAAGTTAGTTATCTATTATAAATATGTGTTGTTTTTCCTAGAATAACCCTACTAATTATGTATATCAGTTGAAATCACTATTTGATGAAATATATCACATATGCAACTACTGATAGGACTATCACTACTACAGAGTGAGGAATAATTGACGCTAACTACTTGACGGTTATAACAACAAACCGTCAAATATAGTATCTCAAGAGAAAACTTGACGGTTTTAATAGGAACTATCAAGTTTCATTCGAAAATACTTGACCGTTTTTTAAAAACCGTCAAATTTTCTTCCACAATACTTGACGGTTGTATTATAACCTTCAAGTATTTTTGAGGTAAACTTGACGATTTCTCCTTAAATCGTTAAGTTTTATAATATTTCATGGTTTTTAGTTATAACTGTCAAATATTATTCCAAGATACTTGACGGTTATTAAGAAAAAACGTCAAGTATTATGTTTTAAACCGCCTTCTCTATTCATTTCGCTCTGTCCAGTTCAAAATTTCTAGCGCCCCCTTTTGCTTTGAACCCTCTAAACCGCCATACCCGCCTCATTTTCGGCCCTTCCCTTTTGTTTTTATTGATCGTCCTCCATCATCGTCCCTCTCTATGTCCTCCTTCATCACTGCGGAGTCCTCCTGCATCGTCGTTGTCGCGTATTGTTCTCCAGATTTGACAACTTCAGGTTAGTCCTCATTTGTCACTCGCTCCCTTTATTTCCTTTAGTGCTTCCTTCGAAATGATTATAGTTGAAAGAGGATGATAGGATGATGTTAGGACCGTTTACAATGTGCACACGGGAAATGGGTTTTTCTGTTCAGTCGAGTGGGCTTTTTTGCATTTTGATCATTTTTTGGGTTTAGGATCTTTTCAATTTTTGTTTTAGTCATAAATTGTTTGCTAAATTATTGAAATTGCTAATGTTTCAATTTTTGTTTCTGTAATTGAAATTGACTAAGGCTGTATGTTTTATGTTTTTGAATTTTAATTAATTTGTATGTTGTTATATATTGAAATTACCTGACTGCTGGTTTTCTGCTTAATTAATACTTCATTTGAAGTTAAATAGAAGGCATAAAGCCTGAGGAATGCTAAGTTATAAACCGTTATGCTGCCAAATTTTTTTCAAATGGAATAGCACATCAGTAGTAGTAGAATATTTTTCAAACTGAAGTGAAAGTGAATTTTTTATTGAATTATTAGTTGCTAACAACTAGAATTACTAGTTGTTAACAAGTAGAATTAAAGAGGGATAAATGTGATCAATAGTGCCTTATGTATTAACTTCCTATTTTTGTTTAATTCTCACAATATCTTTGAGTCGCTGATCACATTTTCCTCTAAATGATTCATTTTAATCGGGGACCACGGGCAAGGAATGGATGTCCGCCAATCGTCTATCAAAGGAATACTGGGATAGGGTAGAAGATTTTATTAAGTTTGCGATTGCGCAGGCCGATGATCGCAACAGGATTATTTGCCCCACGTTAAGGAGGTCGTGAACAGGATGGTGAGTATTATTCTAAAGTAAATAATCCTCATGTTATTGTCAAATATCTTTAAGTATGAATAACTAGGATATATTGAGAAAGGCATTGGGGACTCCTGACCATCCTGGTCTTCTTAGAGGTGTCGGTTATGGAGTCACCAAGAGGAATTACTTCGGGTACCGACAAAAGCTCTCTTCATCATGCATGCCTTCCTCTGCTGAGTTCATGGAGCTGAAGGAAGAAACATGCTGGTTAAAGGAGCAAGTTAAAGCACAAGTACTCCTAATCGAGTAGTTGATCAAGAATCAAGCACCACAGCCGGCTCTGAATCTCAGCCTAAGTGGCAAAGACAGCTGCATATTCCCTTTGCTACCTGAGGGATAATACTTGTGTTTATACAATTACATTCAATTATTTATATATCTAGTTAACTTGTCTCCCATGTTAAATTAGGGTGAAGTAGACGTTCAGTATATGGCGGATAGCCCTAGACATCACACTTGGATGTCCACTGCCAGCCTCGCAGCCGCAGTGCCGCCGCATATGATTATCTGTCGTTTGCGCGTAGCTATCACGCTGAATGAAAGCACGTGGATGGCAAATTCATATTTCTACGTGACTACGTTCGTTCAAATAAAAATTGTATAACTAGTTTACGGCACTGAACTTGGCCGAAACCAGCAGAACTACCAGCTTTCACCAAAACCCTAAAACTACAATATAACGGAAAGCAAATTCTCCCGCGTAAGATAAAAACAGTCTAATTTCCCCCCAAACTGTCCACCTTTGTCGATGATATGAAGAATAACTAATTCACCACCTCGGGGCTCGGAAATGTCGCTCCACGGCGGACCTACCGACCGCCGGGAAGCGGCCTCGCCGGCAGCCGGTAATGCTGTCTCTGGTGGTGGAAATGGAGTCATCACAAGCGACTCTAGCAGGCCAGCGACGATAGTTTCGAGCCAGAGGCTGCGGTTGAATCCGAACAAGGACCACAAGCCAGATATTTACGAGGGCTTGCAGTTGGAGTTCAGTCCTTCGATTTTTAGCTCGCTGGAGAGTTATATGCCTCCTAGCATGCTCAGTGTGCCTCGGGAAGATAAAGCGAACTTCATGCGGGAGATTTTGCTTAAGTATCTGCCCCCTGGGGAGCAGAACAGGGTACGTTTCATGAGCAAAAATTTTCCTCCGTTATGAATCGGCATGTAAAGTCCAAAAATATCCATACTTGATTTGTTTTCTCGGAACAGCACATGGAACTCAAGAATGGGAATTGTAGAAGGTTTTTTTATTTAACCTATTTTGTGGGGTAAATTTCATGCCTTGCACCTCAGCTCACAGGGTAGCGAAACTGCATAAATGGAAGGGTGTTTCTAGTTTGTGCCAATTTTGGGTTTACCGGTCCAATTTGGATTTTCTCAAGTAATTAAACGGTTAAAACGAACTGCTTTGTAGACAAAGAGTAAGAAAAAAGAAAGTAAGTATGTCCATAGACACTTTTGTTTCTTCCGTCATTCTCTTTACACAGGAGGTGCTTTGTTATTTACTCAATTAAGTTTCTTGAAACAAACATTAATTCCAACTGGTGAGCGGAGTTTGCTCTGAAATGACATATTCATTCTCTTCTAAGAGCAATATATTGTGCTAGAGCTGATGCCTGGTTTGGAACTATATACTTGTCGTGTGGTAGTTATTCTAGCCAAGCATTACTTGTCATTCGTCTGTAGCAAGTGAAAGAATTTTTGGCCTTATAGTATTGGTCGATTTAGTTCTGATCTCCTTTGCAATCTTAAATGTCAGGCATAGGTGAAGATAGGATCCTTTGCAATTCTTAAATGTTAGGAATAGGTGAAGGTAGGAAAGGAAGTTTAAAGGACTAAATATTTGTGTTTTGAGGATGATATGTAGCTTTTGAGAAGTAGAGGTAAATGTATCAAATTTCCTAGAATGTCTTTTCTTCTTCTGGAACTTGATGAATCTGTGCCGATGGTTTGGTTTGGGCATGGTAAAAGTTTCAAAGGCAATGCATGGATTTAAAATTTTAGCTATTCCTGGATGCGTAGAGAAAAGGAAAGAAAAGTTATAACAGTTTTGAGGGTGGAGTGATGAGGGAGAAAGAGCGAGTGGATTATACTTAGCATTAAGATTCTAAATAATATTATTCCTATATGTAAATCTATATTAGGTTTTCTTTATGCTTGGAGATTGGAAGAGGGGTATGACTCTTGGAAATTTGCCATTTATGTAAATAAGTTGTAACTTAATTTGTTTTGGGTTATTATACTCACATTTGACATCCTCCTATGACTTTTCATGTAAATTCAGGCTCAAAAGCATAGAGATTATAGACAAAAGATAATATCAAATTATCAGGTATGTCACGTGATACTAATAGTATCCTAATCTTAAAATTGTACTTTCATTTGCTTGGCTATATGTGTTTGCTTGTATATGGGAATGCTATATGGTATTGAATGTTAGATTTTAAAAGGGCAACAAGAACATGAATTTTGGGTTATTAGAAACGAGGATGTTGCGATTTATAATGAACATATATGAAGAAGAGTTGGCGTTACATCTATTGAGGAGAAAAAGGTAGAACCATTTAAGGTGACTAAAACAAATACAAAGAAGGTCATTGAAGGTGAGGGTGAGGAGAGTTGAACAGATAGTTTGTGAGTGCTATGAAGAGAACTAGAGGAAGACCTAGAAGAACACTCAAAGAAGTTATTGAATAGGACCTTTGGTGAACAATATATCAAAAGATTTGATTGTTGATAGCGTAAAGTGACATCGTGTGATCTATGTAGCCAACTTCACTTAGTAAAATAATACTTGCTGTTGGATGTATGTGTTTGCCCTAATTTTGCATAGAACCTGAAAGAATAATTTGAGGGAGAGAATGTTAGAAAAGATGGAGAAGACTGTGTAATTAAAGTTTGAAAGCAAATATGTATAAGACGCCTTATTGTCTAAAGGGGTGTTTGGATAGAAACCAAACCATGGTTTCAGAAGTGCTTTTATAGATTACGAAGTAAATATGTGGAGGAGGTTATCTCGTTTTGCGGAAAAGTGCTTCTGAAACCTAGGTTTTGGTTTTGCCAAACACCCCCTAAATCTAAATATCTAGTGATGAATCCATATTCTCAAATTTAACTGACTCTAATCAGGTCTGATCCAAAGTAGATCAATTAGGTAAAACACTGAAATCAAAACAGATTTGCATAACTTGTTGTGTGTAATAGGCTTAAATTGAGGTTGGTGTCTCTCTTTTCCTCACTATAAAAGTGTCATGTGGTGTTTAAATTGATATTTACATATCATGGTAGAAGGATTCGAGTCTGTTTTATTTTTAATCTCTTTAGTTTCTTTCTTAACCAGCTCATCCTCCCTTTCTTCTAATGAACAAGAGTACGGCAGGAGCCTGCTTATGCTTTGAAACTGCATTCTTCTTGGGTGTTTTTTGTTATCATTATGAGAGTTGCAAAATACAGCAAGTGCATTTTCTGTTTATAATTAAGAATGAGAGTGTAAATACGTTATTGTCTTTCTTTCTCTTTGTATTTTTTTCCCCCCAAAAAATGTGATATAGCTGATTTAGGACTAGAGGGAGCATAAAATTTGAATTATGCCATTTACTTGGGAGGAAAACTGATATCTCCTTGGATGTGATTTATGTCTAGACATGTCTAATGTTGCTGTTGCAAATCTGTATCTAAATCTATAATTATATTCATAGCAGAAGACTTTTTGAACAAATGGTTTGGGCTTAGATTTCAGATATGCGGATGTATGATGGCCTCCTTACCTATGTCTCATGTTTTTTGTTATTTCTAAGCAACAGTGACTGGTTTTCTGTGATATTTGGGCAGCCTTTACACCGGGAGTTGTACACTTTGAGTCCTACGATGTTCTTTGTCCCAGCATTTCTGAAAGCAATCAATGATAACACAGAGCAAAGCTTTAGAAGCATAATGTCTGAGCCTATTCCGGGCATTTTCATATTTGAAATGCTCCAGCCTCGCTTCTGTGAGTTATTGTTGTCTGAGGTACTTAATCATTCTGACTATCATTTGGCAGTGGTATAAGCAGTCTCATTCTTCTTTTAGTTTTAAATTTGCACTTGCATATCCGTGCATAGGTCACTTTGATATGTTTAATTCTTTTTGTCTTTCTAGATCGAGAATTTTGAGAAGTGGGTGAATGAAACAAAATTTCGAATCATGCGTCCTAACACAATGAATAAATATGGTGCTGTACTTGATGATTTTGGCCTTGAGACAATGCTAGACAAGCTTATGGAAGGCTTTATCCGTCCTGTATCTAAAGGTAAAAGAAGTCTGTTTGATTTATACTTGTTAGTTCACGGTGATTTCTCCATTTTGTGTTTATTTTGCCAGAAGAAGATCATCATCCTCTATCAATTAAATGGATCACTCTTGGTGCATGCTCAATTAATTAATTTTAATCATCATGCAGTCTTCTTTGGAGAAGTTGGTGGATCAACCCTAGATTCTCATCATGGGTTTGTTGTTGAATATGGTAAAGATAGAGATGTTGACTCTGGTATGGTTTCTGCTTGATGCATTCCTTTTTACATTAATACTTAAAAAGAAAACTGTTATTGCTGAGCATTGTGGCTGTATTAAACATTTAGCAATATCTATAATTGACAAATGATAATACAGCTCCTTATGGCCTGTGTTCGTGATATTAGCTATCATGGACAAGTTTTTTGTAATGTGCTTATTCCGTTATGTCATAGAGTGTGTCATAAAATGGTCCTCACTACGTTGCTTCCATTTATTGTGGGCATCCCATTTTTATCATCTTTATGTTTACTATATCTACCAAGGCTATATTACCTAGGAAGAAAAGAAATTATTTGATCATTTTACAGGCTAAGTACAATTATACCGCACATTTATGCCAAAGAAGGCTAGGATCTTGATATGTGAACCCTGCAGTAACCTTATCTTGTTTCTGCTAAGGTGCTTGTTGGCAATCACAGCTCCTAAATGCTTCCTTTGTTTGTGTGCTGGAATTTCTATATATGCTCCAAAGCTTATACATAATTTATTTTCGGAGAACATATCGTTCAGTGATATTAGGATTCTGTTACTCCTGATCTCCTGAACTAGAACTTGTCCATTCAGTTTACTATCCATGAAGCAATGAAGTCTAAATAGATACAATCTTACATTTGTAGGTTTTCATGTGGATGACTCAGAAGTAACCTTGAATGTTTGCTTGGGTAAGGAATTTTCTGGAGGGGAATTATTTTTCCGGGGAACGCGATGTGATAGGCATGTAAATACAGGGAGTCAGTCGGAGGTATGTTAAGTCATAGAGATGGAATGACATAAACAAAGATTGGTATTGAGAGGATAAAATGCTTAAGATATTTGATTTATCGCTTTTGGGGACACACATACATAGTTCTACTCTTCTCTAATAGATGATTTTCCAATATTGATGATGATGAGAATCTGAGTTACCTCAAATATTTTTTGACTCGCAGCAGCCTGAATTGTCATAATTGATTTACTGTTTTTTCATGTTTTGGGCAATCATTGAATTGACTCCAGGAGGAAATAAGCATGTGATTCTTTAGAGAACTGAATAATTTTTATTCTGGGAAGTTTCTACTAGTTGTGTATTATTTGCAACCAGTATTATAATGAATTGAAATGGTAAAAGATTGCTTATTATGTGTTTTAAATGTCTTTGATTCTACCTATAGTGGCATATCTCTGCTTTGATAATGAAAATATATTATGCAGTCATTTGTATTTGGGTTTATGCTTTGATCCAATGGAATTACTGAGGGTAGTAATTTATAAGTGCTAAGGATATTTTTGGGCCATTGCTTGTTATACATCGTATATGGTTGCACGATTTTTTGATGCAGTCATTTAAGCAGGAGATATTTGACTACTCTCATGTCCCTGGACGAGCTGTGCTTCATCGTGGGCGGAATCGCCATGGTGCTAGGGCTACTACATCCGGTCATCGGATCAACCTACTTCTGTGGTGCAGAAGGTGCTCTTGATTTTGCTTGCCCTTATTACTAGTTCTATATCCCCTGTTATTTATCGAGAGTAGGTCCTCCTTTTTTAAAAAATTTATGTTGTCTCCTAATGGTGGTCACTTCCTTCAAGAACTAATGTGGGAATGGTCCACCACTTGTCTTTTCTGGTATGTGTATGTAGCTTGTTCTGAATCAAAATGATATATATAAAACTAAATTCGATTGTGTTGTTCATTTATAATCCTTCTGGGTTCTTAATCCATTAAAGAAAACCCCTAAAATTGCAGTTTTTATGGGTAAAGTGCAAACGTCTCACACGGCTGTTCTGTAATTGCAGCATCCATTTGGGATGCCATTTCCCCTCTTCTCTGATCTTTTTCTTGAGAGGATCAATTACTTTAAACCAGGATTGTTCTTTGTTTTTTATTTTAAAAAATCAAATTAAAGAAATACATTGCATTATTTCTTTGCAGCTCTGTCTTCAGAGAGATGAAAAGGTATCAGAAAGATTTCTCCGGCTGGTGCGGTGAATGCAATCGTGAGAAGAAGGCAAGGCAGCATTCCTTGATTGCTGCTGCGAAATTGGTAAATAATCATATAATTTACATTCTCCTAACACATGTATCATAAGGCAGATGGTTTGAATGAGTTGTAGCTTGTACGTACATGTGCATAATTAAGTTACTAAATATCATACTCTGTTATCAGTGATTCAGTATGGGCACTCAGTCAGAGTTAGTTGACTGCGGCTTCACGGAGGTTTCGTGCTGAAACATATGATGTATTCGTAGTAATATCACTATGTAGCATTCATTCCTGTCCATATTAGATACTCGAAGGGATACCCTGTACCAAAGAAAAAGAGGTGTGACAACAGATTTGTTCATACAAGACATCAAAATTGAGGATTTTTTTTATTGTTTTTGAAAATGGTTTAAACTGACTTTGAGCTTTAGTACATAAGCGTTCATATCCGTACAAAGAGTCCAACTTGAGTCCTTTTGATATCTTGAGTCCGTTTTATAAAACGAATTACATGGAGGTTAGGATCTGGTTTTCCGTGTGGGAAAAAAAATGGAGAATTGGCGAATTGCAAACTGTCATGGTGAGAGGGCAAAATATCATTACATGTGTGTTAAAGTAGATGGATCAGAAACTTGATGCCAGAGTATGCTTTGTCATTTGCAAACCTTCATTAATTTGCTTGGCCTTCACAAAGTAGTTCATCACATATAAAATTTGAATCATATTATACATCTTCGTTTGATTGGCATTTTAGAATATATCTTTTGAAGCTACATAATGAGTGACTTGCTACTGAGAATTCTTTCAAGTTTGTTTCTTTAGTCGCCATTGTACTGCTTGAAAATGCATGGCCGGTGTTGCAGAATTGAACTTCATTTTTGGCGTGCAGGAACTGTTCAAGAGAGAAGGAGAGGCTACCGCATAATCTGTGTCCAGTGGACAGTTATGGAGCTGTAATCTTAATCCAGATGACGAACTGATGCCGACAATGATGTTCAAAATTTTCTTCATGCTTCCCCGTCCGGGGGCCTGTAATAGTTTCCACTGGAATGATGTAGCTTCCTGGAAATAAGCTTCCGGTTTTTTCACTCCGAAAAATTGCTGCCTATTGAAACTCTTTCAGGTTGTAATTTAGGTCTATGTGCGGTAATATATTAATGCTCAATTTTTATCCGCATAGATTTAGCCCAGGATTGATATAATCATGTGTGACATTGCCGCCTAAATAGTTCTATTAGAATATGTAATTGCATAGTATAGCTGTTAGCATGTTCTACTTGTTAAGTTGCCCTTTTCAATAAATAGAACTTGGAAGGGAAATTTTAAACGAGCAAAATTTTAACGGGTCCATCATAAAAAAAGGATGAGCGTCAAATTAAATAAATTGAGTTTTTCATGTATTATACAGTTTTATATTATATCTTTCATAGAGACGGGAAAATTATAAATATAATACTTTCTTTTTTATTTTGATATCGATAGTGAATGATTTAAAAATAACAAAAGAAACATTTTAGTCCCCTCTGAATATTGTATAATTATAATATTTGAATGAATTGTTCATCACTTAAAATTAAAATAATTTTCTGCCTTTCCTTTTCTCCTACTTGTATGAGAATAGGTTCATCCTGATTGGCCCGTCTCAGTCCCAAACATATAAGGATGGGACGACTCGGAACGAGACAAAAAATAAGATCGGGACAAAACAGCAAATGGGAGAGGGTCGTCCTGTGTTGTTAGTAATATGTTCATATTTTTTATCATATTATAATTATTAAATGTTAAAAATACAAAATATTTAAAGCATGTGTAATACAAAATATTTAGAATTTTTATCATATCATATTGAATGACTATTATTTATTTAGAATTTTGATAGTTGCTTATGATTTTTGGAATAGTGAAAATGAATTTTGGAGTTATTATGTTATTGATATTTAGACATTTGTTTAAGAGGATTAAGCCTAAAGAACTAAAAATATAAGGAAAAAAATAACTTAAAATCTATTGTAATAAGTCCAATCACAAAGCAAACAATTTTTTTTTTTAAAAAAAAAGGTCCTAGTCTTGTCCCGTCTTGATCGAGATTGGGACAATATCGAGACAGGACGCAGAATAGATTTTCTATTCTGTCCTTATTTATTGGGACGGATTTGTCCTGATCCCGTCTCGTGAATAGTTCTACTAAGAAGGAGAAAATTTATGCTTGTCTAAAAATATTAATTTTTTTTTCATATAGTTAAATATTTTGTTACAATTGTGTATGAGCAATATTGAGCTTAATTAGAGATGACTTTTTCATTTACACTTGTTTTCTCTTCTTGACATAATTACTGTTAATTAAATATGTTCTGATGTACTTTAAAATTATACCTCAGACAAAATTTAATTGATGATATAAGTTGGCATCTGGCGGTATGAATACCGAATAATTCACATAAAGTTTGTAATCTAAAAATCATTTTTAAAATGTGACTTTTAAACTAAGGGGATGTTTGGTTGAAAACAATCACTTTTAAAAAAAATAATTTTATAAAAATCGAGATAAAACTTTTCTTATATATTTACTTGATATATAGTAAAACTAGAAATTTTTCCCCCATATGATTTATGGATTAGCATATTTGATTAGATTTTAAATTTTAATAAATTGCATTTTTTAAGATAGTTGAAGATTTACTTCTAGCAAGAGTATATTTTTTTAATTCATCTTAATGGAATTTGAATTATAGATGCGGAATTTATAGGGAATAGATGAAAATTTGAAATTAATTATTTATTTGTATATTTAAGTCTCCAATTGACATACTATTTAATTATGATACTCTCCATTTAATTTAATATATTTAAATCCCAATTAAGATATTATTTAAATTCAAAATTAATTATTAATTTCTTCATTTGAGCCTCCATTTGAAATTGTATTTATTTATAATATTTTCCATTTAATTCGATCTATTCAAATCTCAATCAAGATGTTATTTAAATCTCATTAATTAAATATATTCAGATCCCATAATCTCATACTCTACCCATTTTAAAACGAATCGAGTATTACAAGTGTTTAAGAATATAGTTGATGATTACTTTTAAAATGATAATTTGATTTCCATCTAAATACCCTTCAAAGCATTCAACTTTTTTTTTGGTTGCCCAGAGTATCCTCTCACCCGAACGGTAAGAGACTAATCTCTCGAGGTACTGTCAGGCGCTGTAGCGGGAACCCCTCCCAACAGTGTTTTTTCCATACACACCGCTTCAAGGATCGAACCCTGTTTAAGGAGCCCAAGTCCCTTTCACTTGGACCAACACTTGTTGGTTCAAAGCATTCAACTTTGTTGACATACGAGGAAGTATATCTTTGATGATGCTTATCATTTGTCCTTAGTGTTTAGGAGCCCATTTAGAAAAAATAACATAAAAAGAAGTTAAAAATTGTAATATTCTACTTCGGATGCTTAAGAAGTTAAAATCTCAGTTGAAAAAGTGGTGTTTGATCTAATATCTTGCAAATGTAATTAAATAACTAAAATGTCTTTGTATTAGTTTTTTTTTAAAAAAAAAGTTATCAAACCTGTCATTACTAGTACATTTATTGTTATTAGTTATTTAACATTTGTCATTACCAGTTCACAACTCATTAATAAATAACTTGTCATTCCCAATATATTTCTTATCATTTACTCTTTAACACTTATTATCAACTCATATCTCTAAATCGCGTACGAAGTCTCTCATTGGCCCACCTCAGTCTTTCCCTTCCTGCCATGTGCTCTATTCCAATTGGTCCTCTATGGATGAACATTATATTTTTATATGCGGGTTTTGCTTGTGGTGCTATCAATTCCCGATGCTACTACTCCTCTTTGCTATGCGTTGTCAATCAATTGCCATTATCAATTCCCGATGTATCAATATTTCCATCTCGTGAACCCTAATCGTCCATCTACATTTCTTGCTCACAATATTCTCATGTAATTTATTACCTCTGTGGTGCTATCAATTCCCGATGCTAATACTCCTCTTTGCTATGCGTTGTCAATCATCAATTGCCATTATCAATTCCCGATGTTTATAATGTCTTCTCATGTAATTGGCATTGGATAGATTCTCTCTTTTTTCAAAAAAATAAAATGAAACTTTGTAGAACTTGCAAGGACAATTAATGGCTTTGGCCTCTGTTCACACGCATGTGACTTCATAGTTTTTGTTTTTTCTTTCTCCCATGACTGCATAGATGAACATATATATATATATATCACGTTAGTTTGATCATTATCTGTACTGCCTATCACCCTGAATATCAAGTTACTATTATTGCGTCTTAAGGCACATCAGTATCTCTTTGCTGTGTGGAAGGTATCCATGCTATTAGTGGATGAACAGGTATTTGTTTATTTCATTTTCACCATGTTCCATCTAACTTTTACAAATACCCTATCACAGTTTCTTCTTCTATATGCAGGAAAGTAGGATTGAAGCATTTACCACTCAGAAATCACTAATTAGACGTATCATTGAAGAACTTCGGGAGGGGGTAGTGTATCATTTTGAGAACTTTGAAGTGCTCCTTAACAAAGATGAGTACAAGGTTACAGATTGTAAATATAAGTTAAGCTTTCATTGTTCAACATCGATCGAGGAAAGTGATCTTTCAATTCCATTTGATGCATTCAACTTCGTTACAATCAAGGATGTTGCTGAGTTTAATGCCAACAATGAAGACTTGATAGGTTGGATCACATACTTATATTGCTTAGCATTTTGTCATTGTTTAATTCTTTTAAGAAAAGTTGGATTTAAAGTCTTTTTTTTTTTTTAATGTTTTCCAGATGTTATTGGGTTTTTACAGTCATTTGGAGATTTGAAGGATCATAAAAAAGAAGGGGGTAGTACAAGGAAGCTCAGTTTCACAATTGCGGATGAGAAGTGATTAGCCCAGTTTATAGTTTATATTTTAAGATGTTTTGTGTTTTATTTTATTAGTTGTCCCTGTTACTATGTATTGGATTTTCACAATTATTTCAACCAGTTTTCTTATATATATTTTCGTTATATGTGCCTAGAAACAGGATTTTTTTCCTTTTTCTGCAGTGAGAGATCTGTCAATGTGGTAGTATTCGGTCAGTGTGCCAATGAAATATTTAGAGCCAAAGGGGAAGACTTACAACCACCTATTGTTGTGCTCCTTCGTTTTGCAAGAATCAACAGGGGAAAAGGTACGTATATGTATCATCACATGTTATTAAAGGTGTTACCTCATTGCAATTCATGTCTATCATCAAGCTTTAACCTTGAAAATCTAGGTTTCGGACATTTAACTAATCAGTTTGAGGGGACCAAGGTAGTTTTCAATCCTGACCTCCCTGAGACCAAGAAACTACTTGACAGGTTAATTTCATCAACCATTATTAAGTTATTACTTATTAAGATTAAGGTTAGCATGAAAGTGACCAATTATTAATAATTTTCCAACACTTATGTTTAGTCTTGAAGATAATCCAGTTGCAAGTCAAAGTTTATCCCAGGTATCAAGCTGTGTCATTGCAACTGCTACAAATGAGTCACTCTTAAGTTTCCCTTGCAGGATTAATGTAGCTCAGATAATGAACTTCACTGAGGTATAATTTTATTTACATTGATCGAAAAACAACTCTGTTATCAACTTGCTTTTAATTGAGGTGCTTATATATGTTTGGTATTTAGCCATGTGAGGTTGTCACTAAGTTGGTCATTGAGAAGCTTGAAACAGCATATGGTTGGAATTACGATGGATGTCCATGTGATAAAAAACCATTCTATGTCAATGGGAAACTTAAGTGTAGCGCATGCAACACAGAAGTCAAGATGACTGAACCCAAGTATGAAATATTCTTCAAGATAAATATACCATATTATTTTACTATTAGTGACTTATCTTTATTCCTTTTTAACTACATAAGTAATATTTACTTGGTTAATACATATAGGTTCAAAGTTCATTACAAAGCAAGGGATTCCACTGGTAAATGTTCAATCATTTTTTTCAATCGCTTAGCTTCTCAGTTATTGAACTGTGTTGCTACCGACCTCAAGGATCAAATGATTAAAGTGATCTCTTTTGGGAAATTTTGTCAAAATAAATTTGTTCTGCTGAATATCAGTACCGCATTTTAACACATTACACTATGTGATGCTAACAGATGGGCAAGCCTATGGGATTTCCTAAAGAGCTGTCCGATTGCATAGGGAAGGAAGTCCTGGTCAAACTTAAAATCAAGGACTTCAACATCGGTCACCCCAATAGTAGCATGGGTGTCTCACAGTTTTCTGATGATATGCACATAATCGAAAAGTTCACATATAGCGAATACCAGGAAAATCCTCCAACTCTAACTGAGGTATTAACTATTAATATTGATCATTTATACTTATAATCAAAGATCTTTAAGCTGTAATATATCAAAGTGAGGTACCTAATATACTGAAAATATGTTTAACAGGCTTCGCCGGTTGAATCGAGTGCGTCAAAATCCTCTCCAAAAATTGTCCTTGTGGAGGCAGAAGAAGATGATGACCTGACTGATTCACAGATTGTCACTCCAGAGGACACTAATGCAAAGAGGAGAAAACTGAGCAAAACCATCTCCCAAGCAGTTGATGACGGTGGTCTCTCAGAGATGTTGACCCCTACATTCAGCTCAACCAAGCTTTTGAAAACCATAAAAGAAGAAGTTTGTTGACTAAAGAGCAGCCTCATTTTGTTGCTTTAGTCACGCCATTTCAACTTCAATTTTTGGATTTAGTCTACTATTTCAATCATCCAGGCTTTTGTGATCTAGACATATTTTAGAGGCACCAAATTAATATGGTGTCATTATCATGTTTAATTGTGAAATGAATTTCAATTCCTTATGCTGGATGTATTTAAATTCTTCTAATAGACAAATTAATTGAAAATTATTGCCCACAAGATATGGTCAAGAAACATTAACCAAATAATGTAGAACTTTCCATCCTAATATATACTTTATAAATTATAATTCTATAGTCTTTTCCAAATGCTAAATTAATTTCTAATAATTTATTCTATGGACTCCAGTTCAGGATTTTCTCTTAGAACACTTATATTAACTCAACAAGTTAAAAAGTTTTGCATTTGATTTATTGAATATTTAATATTAATAATTGGTGCACAAAATGAATAGCATATTTAATATCAATACATATGAGTTTTGGGAGTATATCAATCAAATGTTATAATCATATCCAAGATTGCCATAACACGCTATTTTAATTATATGTCTTACCTCTCATTGACGTTAAATATATTATTGAGAGAATGTAAATAAAATCTGGCTAAAATATCTAAATCCAAATTATGATTTACACTTCTAATAAAATTCTAATTAGGCCATGCAAGTGGTCTTCATATCTTATGATTATTTTTCAGGTTGAAAAACGCATAAATAATTCTTAGAGTGTTTAAAATTTGTGTGTGTATACATAACTAAAACTTTCAAAAATATGTTAATCAAACACTTTAAATTACAATATAAGTTTTAGAGAAAAATATTTTGTTTAAAAAATTTTTTTTGTCATTGATAAAATAATATTTCACAGCAGAATAAAATAAAAAATATTTTTGACCTTTTGAATCAGATGCTTAGTTAATAAAACTAAAGTAATAAAATTATTTTTACTTATTTCATATCATTTATTCCTTACTATTACTGTTCTTTACTTTCTACGAGCATATTTCAATGTATAGGCTAATAGGATAACAGTGGTAGTGTCATCATTCCTTACAATGTGGGTTTGATAATGGCAGTTATTGAAAAGTTACGCTCAAAAAATCAAAGTTACAACTTTTAAAAAATAATTTTATCACCATATTTACCAATCAACATAATTCACTTGTAGTTTACTTTTTTAAAAAAATATTTATTTGTACATGGAACTTAGTGAGAATATTATTCTTTAAAAGTTTCCATCACTTCTTGGGTTTCGTGTACAATGACATATCGTTCTTCTGTGATCATGTTTACACATACAATTTACATGGCTATTATAGGGTGAGGTGCCAATCCTAATCATTATTGCATTTTAGAGTCCCAATGCTATACGCTGGAGTTCATTCTTCTATGCTCAGATATCTCTCTCCTTCCGATATGAATGCAGAATTAGCCTACTTTAATGATGATTCCTGAACGATTTCAAAAACCAATGGGGATGATCCTTATCAATATATAATAAAAAATTATTTTAAATGTAAAACTTTGACAATACTCCAACCATATTTTATATTTTTTAGAGTGTGATCCAAGTGATCAACGATACAGCCAATCAAAAATCATATTTGATCTCCAACTCATTAATCCCTTGTATGGATAAAGTAGCCAATAGTGGGTAGACCAATCACATATCTTGCTTCATTTTTTTGCTTGCCGAAACACATATCTTATTTATATTATAGCTCTTTTATTCATCATGTCAGCCTTATCAGTCCAACAACCTTCTTTGGGCAGAGAGAAAATGGTACAGCACAAGAAGATGACCAGACAACAGAGAAAAAAGAACAGTATGTTGTTAGAACTGTTCCAAATTTTCTTATGGCATTCTTCAAAATATATTTGTATATACTCTTCATACTAAAGTATTCTTCTTTACTGTAGATGATCATGATAAGGCATATCAGAATATCTCATCAGTTGAAATGCAGATGAAGGAATGCCGATCTCAACATGATGGCGCACAGAACATAATTCAGGATCATTTCTCTATAAGGTCTAAAGCGGTTTATGAAACTCCAACGAAACCAATTTTACCCGACATTACTAATTCCCAAACGCTTTACAAAGAAGGAGGCTTTGAGGTTAATCCAACTTCATTTGCAAATCATGCTCAACCGGAAGACATTCAATATTTCTCAACCAATGGGGAAAGAGCTTTTTGTCCCAAGAGACGTCGTATTGAGAATGTCTCAAGTCTTGCTGAGAATCTAACCCATGAGCTTTATCATGACACCAGAAGAGGTGTGTGCATGTTTCATCCATATATAATGTCCTTTACTATATTATTTGCATTGAATCAGCTAACATATTTCTGAAAATTTTGTGAAGAGGATATTTCAGCCTCAGAAGGTATTCAAGGAGATGACCACTTATATGATTCATTTAATATCAACCTTGATGGCTATCTTGATGAGGGAAATCCAGAATTTGAATGTCAATATTGTGGAGCTATGCTATGGTTCAATGAGAGAATAAAGAGAGCTCCATCTAATGAACGGCCAATTTTTTCAATATGTTGCTCCCATGGTAAAGTGTCTGTACCTCATTTACAGACTCCTCCTGAACAGCTCCGTAAACTTTTCTTTGACAAAGGTGATCCAAAATCCAAAAAGTTCCAATCAAGCATTAGAGCATATAATAATATGTTCTGCTTCACTTCAATGGGAGGGAAGATTAACCATTCTCTAAACAGTAATGGTGGGGGACCTTACACCTTTGTCATATCTGGACAGAACCACCACTATATAGGTAGTTTATTACCTGAAGAAGGAGCTAATCCAGTGTACTCTCAATTATATATTTATGATACGGAGCATGAAATAGCAAATCGGCTTTCAGCAATCAGGTATGTTTCTTTTACAAGATTAATAGCACCATCAGTATTTAATATATTTTTTACCAAAAAAAAAATTCAAAAAAATATAGCCAAATATTTGTGATTTGTAATAATGTATTCATTTCAATATTCTTTAATATGTATAGGAATTTATTTTATGGTTTCCTAATTGCTTTTCCATCATTTTTACGTAGTGAATATTTAACACTAACTTTTTTGTTAAAAAAATCATTAACTATTAAACAATGGTCCATGATACATTACGTCACATGATTTCTTCGTTTTTTTTAACATCTCTTTTAAATCTATCTATTATAAATTAAAATAAAAAAGTACTATTGTTGATTAGAAGTTAAACCTCACAGCTTATTTTAAATCACATAGGAATCACAGTGAAGTATCTCAAGTGGATGTGACTATAGCACATGAAATCAAAGAATGTCTTGACGAACATAATTCACTGGTCAAAAAATATAGGCATGCATCTGATATACTGAAGAGGGATCGCCATGCAAATGTCAAGATTTGCTTGATAAGGCATATGGGCCCTGACAATAGATGTTATAATCTTCCAACATCATCAGAAGTTGCTGCACTAATAGTTGGTGATTTTGACAGATCATATCACAAGAGAGATATTGTTGTGGAAAAACAAGGGACGCTCAAACGAATAGATGAATTTCACAGGTCATACCTACCATTACAGTACCCACTGTTATTTCATTTTGGAAATAATGGTTATGATCCAAATATTATGCACTCTACTCAATCTCTCTACCACACAAGGAAGAAGAAAAAATTGACTATTAGAGAATATCTAGCATATAGATTGATGAACAGGAAGAATGAAGAGTCTGTTATTTTGCATGCTAGAAGGTTATTCCAACAATTTATTGTTGATGGCTACACAATGGTTGAAAGTGATCGATTGAAGTACATAAGAGATCATCAAAAGGAAATAAGAGCCGACCTATACAAGGGAATCTCTGATGCTATTACAAGAGGTGAAACAAATGCATCAATGATTGGAAGAAGAGTTGTTCTTCCATCTTCATTTACAGGTGGTGCAAGATACATGGTGAACAATTTTCAGGATGCAATGGCAATTTGTAAATATGCAGGTTATCCAGATATATTCTTAACATTCACTTGTAATCCTGCTTGGCCGGAAGTAAAGCGTTACTGTACCGATTATGAGCTTAATCAATCAGATTGTCCGCAAATTTTATCAAGGATATTTAAATTGAAATTAGATGCTCTCATGAAAGTTATTAGGGAACAAAAAATATTCGGCAAGATTAGGGCAGGTAATCATCAATTGACCAAGTCCACCTCATATTTATTCCAAAATAAAATTCTGTTATACATTTTTATTATTCACAAGGTTGATTTGGAAGTATGAGATTTTTTAATAATTGTTATGTAATATCTTATTTTATTTTTTTATATTACTGCAGAAATATACACAATCGAGTTTCAAAAGAGAGGATTGCCCCATGCTCATATCATTCTCTTCCTTGAACATGATGACAAGCCCAGAACACCAGAAGATGTGGATAAATTAATATGTGCAGAAATACCAGATAAAGAGTTAGATCCTGAGTTATATGAGCTCGTGGGTAATTACATGATTCATGGTCCATGTGGACACTCTAACAAGAATTCACCTTGCATGAAAGATGGAAAATGCTCGAAGTACTTTCCAAAAAAATATGTCGACAATACAGCTGTTGATGAAGAAGGGTACCCTACATACAGGAGGCGCAAAGATGGAAGGACTATAGAAAAAAAGGGCATACCATTAGATAATAGGTTTGTTGTGCCTTACAATCCACATTTGCTTAGATTATTCCGGGCTCATATTAATGTTGAAAAAACAAACCAGTCAAGAGCAGTCAAATACCTTTTCAAGTACATTAGCAAGGGGAATGACAGAGTTGTTGCAGGGATTTACAGCAATCCTGATACAAGTAGCTCAGAAACTTCATTCGATGAGATATCACATTATCTCAATTGTAGATATGTTTCACCTTGTGAAGCTGCATGGCGTATATTTGCTTTTGACATTCATCATAGATATCCTTCTGTCGAGCGTCTATCCTTTCACTTGCCAGAACAGCAAGTAGTCTACTACTCTGGGAAGTCATCTGTATCATCATTACTAGACAAGCCAAGGATGAAAGAATCGATGTTCTTAGCCTGGATGGACTTGAACAAATCTGGTGGGCTTGCAAAAACAATGACATACATACAGATTCCACAATACTATACTTTTGATAAGAATCAGAGAATATGGAAACCAAGGCAACGAGGATTTGCAGTTGGGAGATTAGCACATGCATCACCAACACAGGGAGAGATCTATTATTTGCGGGTTCTCCTCACCAAAGCACGAGGACCTAAATCGTATGAGGACATTAGAACTGTCGATGGTATTATCCATCCAACTTTTAAATCTGCATGTTATGCCCTTGGTTTGCTCAACGATGATCAAGAATTTATTGATGCAATCAAGGAGGCCTCAATCTGGGCATCTGGACATTACCTCAGAAAATTCTTTGTTAGTATGCTACTTTGCAACTGCTTATCACAACCACTTTTAGTTTGGCAGAAATCTAAGCAACTTATTTTTGAAGATATGTTGTATGTTGCCAGACCTCAACAACAGCTACCAGGTAATGACTATCAAATATATTATCAAATTATCATTATTTTATAGCATGATATTTTTTAATTATTGGTGCATCCTTATTAATTAATCTTAATAAACTTTAATTTGTTATCATTACATGTAGGAATTAGTATAACTGATGATGAGAAGGAGGAAGTTGCACTGATTGAAATTGAAAGATTACTCAAGAGGAACGGGAAATCTTTGAGTGATTTCCCTTCAATGCCAAAGCCAAAAACAGATACACATATTGATATGAGGAACCATTTATTATTGCAGGAGCTGAACTATGACAGAGACAGCTGTAGATCTGAATCAGATAAGTTAAGAGCTTCCTTAACAGATGAGCAATTGAATATATTCAATGAGATCTTGAATGCAATTGACTCATCAAATGAAAATTTCTTTTTTGTTTATGGTTTTGGAGGTACTGGGAAGACATTCTTGTGGAATGCATTGACTGCAACTATTAGGGGAAGAGGTGAAATAGTGATAAACGTTGCATCAAGTGGGATTGCAGCAACGTTATTACCATCAGGCAGGACAGCTCACTCCAGGTTTGCAATACCAATAGATATAACTGAGGAATCAATGTGCAACATATCACACAACTCACCAATGTCTAACCTCATTAGAAATACAAAGTTATTCATATGGGATGAAGCTCCCATGGTTAGGAGATATTGCATTGAAGCTGTTGATAGAACATTTAAAGATATCATGAAGTGTGACCATCCATTTGGGGGAAAGTGTGTTGTCATGGGTGGAGACTTTAGACAAATATTGCCGGTTGTTCCAAAAGGAGGCCGTGCTGATATTGTTGATGCATCAATCAATTCATCTGAACTATGGAATCATTGTAGAATGTTTCAACTTACGAAAAACATGCGCCTATTATCAAGTGGAGATCATGGTGACAATTTGAAAGTCCAACAATTCTCAGAGTGGTTGCTTCAAGTTGGTGAAGGTAAAATAGGACTGCCAAATGAAGGTGTTACAGATATTGAGATTCCAAGTGAGATACTAATCCAATCATCTGATAATCATATTCAATCCATTGTGTCTGTTACTTATCCAAACTTAAAATACCATATCAATAATTCTGAATATCTGACCAACAGAGCAATCCTTGCACCAACTATTGAAGTGGTTGATCAAATAAATGATCATGTTTGTTCAATGCTTGATGGTGAATATGTAGAGTACTTCAGCTCAGATTCAATAACTGCTGCTGATCAAGACGTAGAGTTCCAAGAATTATACACTACTGAATTCTTAAACACCATCAACTGTTCTGGTCTTCCTCCTCATAGATTAGCATTGAAAGTAGGATGTCCTGTCATGCTCATCAGGAACATTGATCAAGCATCTGGTCTTTGTAATGGGACAAGACTTCAAACTACTTTCCTTGGTAAACATTTCATCAAAGCTATAGCATTGAATGGCACAAGTGTTGGTCAAGAAGTCCTCATCCATCGCATGGATATGAATCCATCTGAAACTAAGCTTCCATTCACAATGGTAAGGAGGCAATTCCCCCTCATTATTTCATTTGCAATGACCATAAATAAGAGTCAAGGACAATCAATGACTAATGTTGGTTTATATCTTCCAAGGCCAGTATTCTCACATGGGCAGCTGTATGTAGCAATGTCAAGGGTCAGAAGAATTGATGGTCTAAAGGTGTTGATCGTTGATTCGAATAATAAATCAACCAACATTACTACCAATGTTGTATACAGAGAGATATTTCAGAATGTTCATTGTCATTAGCAGACTAGCTGTTGTTACAGAACTTGAGTCCTATGTTCTTTTTATGCCACATGTTCTGTGATTAACATTAGTCATTATTTTGATGTATCTTTTTTGTTATGTTTAATAGCTCGTAGCTCAATAACACCATGTCATTGTATTATTAGCATCCAGTTTTTTAAAATCAAAATATTATCAAATGACGGTGGGAAATAAAAATTATGAAACATATTTTCTATCAGAATTTTTAGAATAACTAATATCAACTCCACCTGAAATAAAAAAATATGAAGAAGGTTATGAACTCAACTCCATCCTAACCTTCCTCATGTACAACTTGAACACGACTTCTTTAGCATTAAAAACAATATAACTCTGTCACCAAGTACGCAATATTACAAAACATAAATTCATATTTTTGTTAGAATGGCAACTTCGTTGGAATTATGGCAAAATGAAAGAATGGGCTAGGTGATCTTTATTAAAAAATTTGTTTACAAAACATATACACAACACGGAATAATATAAAATAGATATTGCTAACACATTTCTCTTCCGAAAAAAGTCTATCACAATTGCTTTGTTTTTACTAGAACGCAGTTTTAAAAATACTTACTTCCCTTAATTACTAATGTGTTCAACGCAATTACTTACTCTTTACAATTTAAAATATTCTCATCCTCTATTGAATCAAATTACTTTGTTAGTTTACAATACACTTTAGACAAATCGCGCATCGCGCGGGGGTATAAACTAGTTATCAATTCACAACTTGTTAATAAATTTTTTTTTAATATAATGACATTTTGATTATTTCACTATATTTGTAAAATACCAGATCAGATATCAAATTCTTTCCTAAGATTTTAACCTCTTAGGTGTTTGAATTGAAATATTTTAATTTCCAATTTTCTTATGTCATTTTTCCTATATTTTTGTATTATAATCCGATATTTTGTAGAAAGTTAGTTCCTTATACCTTTCCTGGGTTTGGTACTAGCTTTATGTGGACGGACTCATTTCCAATTAAAAACTGAAGAGAAGACTTGTATAACATTTTATTTATTTATAATTTTGATTTATTACTTTCTCAAGTCTTTTTTGCTCATTGATAAATTTAAATATTGCCTATAAATCTATCTGCGTATAATTTTTTTTTTTTCCATTGGCACGCTTTTGTTTAGGTTGACCTTCAGATGATGATGAAAGTAGCCTTGACAGTTGTTCTTTCCCCAGCCCTAGGCGGTTTCTGGAACTCCGTAAGCAGAAAAAATAAAAGGGAAAGAAGAAAAAAAATAAAAGGGAAAGAAAATCATTATCTTTTAAGGTAATTTTTTTGCTGACTATTTTTTAAGGTAACTGATCTACATAAAATAATTAATTTGGATTGTATGAGGATGCCTCTCAAAAATCACTTTTGCATTTAAAGAAACAAATTTTTTCATTTTTTTTTTGCCAACTTTCATATATTTATTTTACACAATGTGTTTTTTGTCAAACTTTTGGATAATATAAAATCAACTAAACTAAATTAGATTCCGATGATTAGAATAAACAATTCAGCCTTTTTTGTGTGTGGTAGAGACGAGTTCAGCTAATTCATTCTCTCTTCATTCACCAACTTAAAGTCACTATTGGCATCAATCATCGAAGTATCTCTGTGATCATGATCTGTACTTTAAAAATATCAGTATTATTTATATAGCGTCTGAAAAATGAGTGGAATTATTGATTTTTAGAATTTTTTTATTGCCTTACGGTTGAAAGGAGGGTGAACATTCGGTTTTTCAGTTCGATTATCAGTAATAATTGAATAACCGAATAGAACAAATTTTAAACACCGAATCGAAACCGATTAACCAAACTAACTGAAACCGAATTAATCGAAATATTTCTGTTCAATTAACTGATTAACCGAAATATATAAATATGAAAAGTGATTTCAAATTAAAAATAATAATAAAACACAATTACAACAATTAATTAATAAATATTTCATTATTCGATGTGATTTATTATAATAATATTTATTATAACCATATTTATTGAATATAAATATATTTAAAGAGTTCACATAAACCTACATATATATTTATTATAATAATATTTATTAAATATAAATATATAATATATTTATTTTGGTTTTTTGGTTATAACTGAAAATCTTTTTCTTCTAACCGAACCGAACACCAAAACCGAATTGTTAAAACAATAAAATCTGAATATATAATTGAAAACCGAAATAACCAATTGAAAAATCAAAATTCAATTGAATTTAATTCGATTTTTGGTTACGATTCAGTTTTGTTCACCCTTAGTTGAAAGTGGTATTTATTAACAATTTTTCCTTATTAGTTTATATTTATTTATATTTAGACATGAAAATATGAAATATCTACTTGAGCTTCGTGAATTTTATAACAGGGGTTCGGCACCATCATTTTTCCAGCGTTATCACCAACTGTTAACCAAAAAGCAAACCCACCGTTTCTCTCTCTATCTCTGCAATCTTTTTGTCAGTTTTTCTCTCTTATAACTCAGACTCTCGTCACTTCTTCCAGGTTTTAATTTCTACTGTCTGGAGATTTGAGGTTCTTCCCGTGGCTGATGTGCTACACCCACAAGAATTGTTGGAGGCAAAGATTTACAAGATTTAATCGCGTGCTCTTATCTGTTTATGGGGTCTATGGTTGCGTGGTGCTTATATAGTTTTCTAGGGCTACGGTTTGATCCGAATTGAAATCCCCTATAGGGTCTTTGTACTTTGTTTTGCCATTTTTGGAAGGAACTGATTCCAGATTGCTTTGTAATTTTTTTCTCTTATATTTTTATGGTCAAGGTCCACAGCTTTGAATGTTCCCCCTATACTGTGTAATCAAAAATCATCTCATTGTTATAGTGTTTTTTCTCCCGTTTCATTTTGTTCATCAAGTTATATTTTTGGGAAAAGGACTGTGATAAACCATCTATAACTTATAATTCCCTATCATTGACGCAAAAGATATACTATAATAAACAAAAATTGTATCAATTTATCGATGGGGAGTCCCGTATTGAGCAATCGCAGCAATTCGCAACCGCGATTAGGCATTACGGAACCCATTTCATTGGGTGGGCCAACAGATTACGATGTGATGAAGACCCGTGAACTAGAGAAGGTTCTGTTTTCACTTTCTGCTCTTAATTATTAGACATTTTGTAAGCTTTTTCATACTCAGTTTGGATTCTGGGTGTTCAGTATTTGCAAGAGGCGGGATTGTATGAGACTCAGGAGGAGGCTGTGAGCAGGGAAGAAGTGCTTGGCAGGCTAGACCAGGTTGAATTATATATTTTCGATATCATTTTGAATTCTGTGAAGGAACTTAGTTAAACATATATACATGTGAGTTTTTTCCGGGATGTGAAGTTTGCTGGAGTGACTGTATACTTTATTCTTTGAATTTTTATTTGGGTTTCTCTTCTGACCATCTTGGGGATGTGGTGGAGCTTCCGATGCATGTTGTTTATTCCAGTTGTGCTTTTCTATTATGAATTAGACTGTGAAGAATTGGGTTAAAGCCATTAGCCGTGCAAAGGGACTCAATGAACAACTGGTGCAAGAAGCAAATGCCAAGATCTTTACTTTTGGCTCCTATCGTTTAGGGGTATGAAGCTTTTTCATAAGTTTTCCTCATATTTATTTTTCTCTGTGCTGTTATCTTCTTGTATGCTTGATGGGATTGTCTGGCCAAACGTTGGGAGAGGCATCATGGGGACTAAATAGCCAAATGACATGATACTTAAGGTTTGGAACAGGAAACAAAGTTATGAAGAGAGGCACATCCTCTTTGCAAACCCTTAGCTCTATGATCATTTAGAGATCTAAGGATCTGAACAGATGTTATTTCACTTTTGAAACTCGTGCTGTTGTGTGACGTGAAGTCATATTTGAACATGATTATGTGCATTTGACTTTTTCTGTGTTTTGTCTAAGTAGTACTATGGATCTATGGAGTGTGAACTTTATGATTATTTTGAATTTATTTTATACAAGTTTTTTTAAAACATAATAATTTGTAGAGATACCTGTTTGTCTTCTTTTTTATATTAGAAATGGGATGTGACATGGTAATTTGTTAGTAGTTCGTGTCATTTGCACTTAAGTTTGATCATTATTTATTGAAATGGTTGCTATGTACTCTTGAGAATTTGATTCCAGGGAAGGCTTTTTAGTTTTTTCAAAGTTTCCAATGGCTCTGTCTGATAAGCTATAATCTCTTCCCCATACATCCACCACAATAAACTAATGCGGAAATTTTGATGCTTGAAACAGAAACAAAGATGAATGGCTAAAAACGCTTGCTATATATTACCTTAAATAGGTTTGCATCACTTTTCCTTCTTAAACTTCGTCTCCCATATTTTGCAGGTGCATGGCCCTGGAGCAGATATAGACACTCTGTGTGTGGGCCCTAGACATGCTAGCAGAGAGGTACATGCTGAGCATTTTATGGTGAAAAATTAATTTTCTGTGTTCATATCCCATGTCGATTAAAATTTTTATGCCTTGTCCTTAGGAAGATTTTTTTGGTGAGCTACAAAATATGCTATCTGAGATGCCAGAAGTGACTGAACTACACCCTGTGCCTGATGCACATGTTCCAGTGATGAAATTCAAGTTCAATGGTGTTTCCATAGATCTCCTTTATGCAAAGTTATCTTTGTGGGTTGTTCCAGATGTAAGTTGCTGATGCAAAAATGATTATTTTTATGCACAATTGTTGGTACTCCTCCGTCCCTTATTATAAGATCCAATTTTTTGAGTGGGTCTCTCTCTTTTTATAAGATTCTCTTTGAGTTTGTCTGAGTATTTAATGTATTATTACCTATTTTATCCTTAATTTAATGCATTTAATATATTCTCTTTTTTCATTTATTTCACTATTACTCTCTCACATTTACCTATTTATATCTAGGGGTGTATTTGGAAAAAAATTGCATTTGCTATATATTAATTGTTTTAAACTAATTTTAATTGTTTT